AGTCTAGAGAGAACAGATTAGTATAGTTTTATATATTAAATTGTTTTTTGCTTATTGTAAGCTTTCTCTTAATAAATAATGGGCAAGATCACTCAAGATATAAAAAAAAAAATATATATATATATGCATATAATCATATCTATTTCAACATTTTTGAGTAAACCAATTTAAAATAGAAAAAACACGCTTGCACTCTGCATTGTGAGGAGTAATTGCAAGAAGTAATAAAGCAAGTTTTTGAAGGTAATATTGTGGCACTTTAAATGCAGACCACCAGATTTCTGGAAGTTCAAGATGATCTTAAAAAAAAAAAATTGTATGAAGGCAATTAGAAATCATAATTATGAACTTGTATAATTAATTCTTACATACTATTATCTTCTCCATCTAGTGACTTCCAAATAGTTAAAGCTTTTTGATAAATAATTTGAAATGTTTCAGAAACTAGGCCTTTATTATGATATTTAGGTATAGAAAATAGGCTAATAAATAAAAGTTAGTATAAAGGTCTAGTGATCTAGTGTAGTGAATAGGTTGTTGGACTGCTATGCAATAGGTTTAGAGTTCAAATCCTTTTGTCAACAATTTAAATAATTTCTCAAACCTTATACCTAACTTACGATAAACTCTGTTCATTTCTGAAGTTGTAATTCTATAAATTACATTGTACTAATATTTTTTGGATATTAGAAGTATGACAGAATATTGGAGTTGTATGCTATATATATGTTTATACTATAATTTTTTATTTTAATAATTAATTTTAATTTTATTTAAGATTGACTATAAAAAAGGTTTCAAATATGGCCAAATTATATGCATATTATATTACAAATACATGGCATGAACTTAATTATGTTGGACAAGATCTTTCAAAAAGTGATTTTTTAAATATGATGCATAATTATACTAATTCGCATACTTCAAATGTTGCTATATTTGAAGAAGATATTCAGTTATATAATTCTGAAGATGATTTTGATATTGAAGATAATCTTGAGGATAATCTTAAAGATAATTCTATTATGAATGATTTATCTGAAGTCGATTCCAGTATGCTAGAAATTGAGAATAGTATTAATTTGAATTTTGCTTTGAATAATACGAATCAACCTTTAATTCTAGATGAAGTTATTGATCATGGTGAAAAGGATTTTGATATTGACTCACTTGTCAATCAAGGAATACAGATGCGAAATGCATCAAATAGATAAAAAAAACTGATATACTTAATTAAAGGAATCGATTTAAAACATTATATAATTAGATTCATTAGTAATAAAAAATAAAAAAATAAAAAATAAAAAAAAATAAGAAAAAATAAAAATAAAAAAAAAAATAAAAAATAAAAAAAATAAAAAAAAATTTTGGAAGAAAAATTAATTGATCGAATTGTGCATAAAGCATGTAATGATCGATTGGGTTGAAGATTGAAAAAATTATTAATTGACAATAACACAGGGTATATCGAATTTATAAAATAACGAAATGCAAGAACGTGAAAGTAATCAATTCAGGAGTCAAAATAGAATGATCAAAGATGTAATGAGTAAAGAAATATGTATAAAAAATCAAGTGAATTAAAGATTAGTGGCTTTATTGATAAATAATTGATCAAACCAAAATAAAAAAATATTTACCCTAATCAGTTCTACGTTTCTTTTAATGTAAAATAATAGGGGGTTTCATAATTAACAAATAAGTGACGTATTTTGAAAATAAGTAGGATTTTTTAAATAGGTCAGTTCGTACTGTTATGAGTATTCAGGTAAAATACCTTAAACTGAAATATCGATGTTCAATCAATTTCAATAATTACAGTAAATTAAGATATTAAAATCTTTGAATGGGAATTGTAATAAATCGTTATACAATATTATGTGACAAGACTTGCACTAAAGGTAGAGCATCTGCTCAAGAATATGACCCAATAAATTATCAAAGTTTGATTAAAAGAGTCCGAATATTCATAACAGTACGAACTGACCCAAATAAGATCTCTGATTCTAATTATGAAACACAAGTCCCCTTAACAATTATCACTGATTCAAAAGCATATTATATAAATTTTAAATGCCCAAACTTCATTTAGATATGCAGGTCAGATTTCTTTCTCTTTCAAAGTTTTTTAAAAACCAACTGTTTTTTGCACAAAGATACGAAACGTTTTTTTATATAGGGCTATAAAATATTGGTTCCAAATCCATTATTTCTATTTTTTTAGCGCTAAACGATGTTAAACTACATTAAATTTTAAATTTAAACAGGAATTGTAAGCTTTTTTTTTTTAATTAATTATAAAAAATGGCTTCGTAACTTTTTTTATAGGGGTTTAATCTTAATTTTTACAAAAGATGTTATAAAATTCGAAGAATTAATAACATTACTCTTATAGCCTAAATATGTTGAAGATATATTAAAAGCCGCAGAAACTCGATAAAAAAGTAGGCTAGTTGTTATATTTAAATTATTTATCTTAAATTAGAAATATTCTCAAAACTATTTAATCTTTTAGAGAGTAAGTTTTATGATTAATTATCAAGTTACTTAAAATTTAGCAAT